CTGTCAGCATGCCTTTACTTACTTTCATTACTCCACTTATAGATTTGTAACTATAACCATTACAATCCAAAGTGCCCAATGAAATCAAATTCTTCCTTAGATCTGGTACATGTCTAACATCACACAACGTTCTAACCATACCATCAAACATCTTAATTCTAATATTTCCTATTCCAACAACTTTGCAAGATGCATCATTACCCATCAGAACAGAACCAGAATTTACTGACCTGTAGGTGTCAAACCAATCTTTGTTGGGTGTCATGTGATAGGAACATGCTGAATCCATAATCCAAGAATCTGTTAAACGATCTGAACTAGATAAAACAGAAAGCATATCTCCGTCACCACTCTCTGAATCTTCTTCTTCCACTACGTTTGCAGACTTTGATGCACCCTCTTTGTTCTCTGAATCCCCTTTCTTTTTCTCTGGACAGTCCCATTTAAAGTGCCCCTTTTTCCCGCACTTGTAACACGAGACAGAGACGTCCTTCTTCTTCTTCCTCGACTTGGACCGGGCTTTATTGTTACCCGATCCATTCCGAGATTTGCTTCTTCCACGTTCCTGGTTACCCTTCACCACAAGCCCTTCACCTTGTGAAGCCTCATCACTGGCTTTCTTCCGCTGATGAAAACCTAACAGAGCACCTGTGACATCCTCCAATTCGAGGGTTTCTTTCCCCCACATCAGAGTCGTAACCAAATTCTCGTACGTAGGAGACGCCGGTAAGGAATTCAGCAACATCAGCACCTTGTCTTCGTCTTTGAACTTCACATCAACTCGCTTCAGATCGCTGATGATCTGATTGAACACGTTGATGTGTTGGGTCAAATCCGAGCCCTCTGACATCTTAAGACCATATAATTTCTGCTTAAGATAGAGCTTGTTCGTCAACGACTTGGACATATACCGACTTTCCAGTTTCAACCAAACTTCCGCCGGTGATTCCTCATCCATGACGTGATACATCACTTTATCAGCCAGACAAAGCCTAATAGTCGCCACAGCCTTCGCTTCCAATTCTTTCCAATACATGTCGTCCATTCCTGCCGGTTGTTTTCCGTATAATGCCTTCACCATGCCCTGCTGCACTAACAGGTCCTTCACCCTCCTCTGCCATAATCCGAAATTCCCAGTTCCGTCGAACTTCATGATGTCGAATTTTGTAGAGGAAATCCTAGACATCATAGTCTAGCTTTGATACCAATTGTTGTGATCGTGCAGCAATTATGGTGAATAGTAAGGAATCAAACAATTAAGAAAGCAGGAGAAAATAACACACAGAGATTTACGTGGTTCGGCAATGTGCCTACATCCACAAGAGCGAGCGGCCGTTCTTTTCCATTATAGAATAGAGTTACATTTTAAGTATTTATATAACCCTAATATGAACGTATTTACAAAAATACCCCTGTACCGTACCGCGAGAGCGTTGCCCCCGCACTCCCAACTAATCAGCGTCCCCTTTATATCAATCCCGCAAGGCAGATGCCGTCGCGGGCTCCGCTTCGCTCCACTCCGCTACGTTCCGCCCGTTCCGGCATCTGCCTCCTTGCCATTATGCACACAGCAAATATGAGCCACACATACTCTAACACAAAAACCATAAATAACTGATCAGTTCTATGTTTTTTTTTTCTGTAGCGTGATATGACTAGACAGCAGGTACAATATAGAACACTTTTGCACTGGTCATTTGGCGATATTTGTGCCAGTTCCCTACTTTCAAAGTAGAAATATGCAAAAAGATTTTATTCTTTACTTTCTCATAAATGAAGACAAAGAACCTTATCAGAAAGGGCAGATTGACATGGTGGGATGATAAGGATATACAACAACCATACATCAATCCAAAACTTGCATCTGTAGACATCTAATTTGTCGGCAGTCCTGGTAATAGGGCCTAGACCATGTCCCAGGAGCTTCTAATGCAAGCGGACCATCATGTTTATAGTTCTTTTCCATTCAAGTTAAATAATCATATTCTGCACAATCATTCAGCGGATAAGGGTTTTTGTGTGCCCCATGAGATCAGGTGGAAAATATCTGTTTGAGAAAGAAATGACTTGAAACTATCCTAACAATGGATAAAAAAAAATTATATATATGCGAAGATTGCTTCGTATCATGTATCCATCGTGACCAAAAAAAAAATGTATCCATAATTTCTTTGAATCTGTGATAGTAGTTTGTTGCAAGTAATTCATTGGATTTCAGCTAAGTTTCATTCTGATTATAGTTCAGAATATCCACCGAGCTTCAGGTCCAACGACGAGCTAGAAAAATCCTCCAGTATCCTGGAAAGACAAGTCATATATACCAGAGGGTTCCGGCGATCGACCGTCCAATCATAAAGTCAGTCGAAAAGGTTCTCAAGATTTAGAGAAGCTTTCGATCCAGCTGTTGTCACCTACCTCGATCTCCTGCGTGGCCCATTACTCTTGGTGCTATGCCGCGCTGGGTAGCCCAAGATTCCGAGCACGTGCTTTATCCTTTTTATCACCTTCAAATTTGAGTAATCAACTCTAAAAGCCCAAAGTCGTTGGTGTGGTGCATGTCACACTAAATAAAGCACAGTAGCTACTGTAAATTAAATTAATTTAATATTTGAATAATGTAATAATATAATAATAACAGTGTAACAAGTACACTGTAACAAAAACAGTGTATGTGGTAATAAATTCAAAACGGAGATAAACTATTTTGAATGAAATTATATGAAACTATATGTTTGATAAAATTTAATAGTACAATATTTTGTGTAAATAGCTTATTACACCGTTATTGTTATATTGTTACATTGTTAATTTTACACTTTTATTGTTACTTTATTATTGTTACACTATTACACTATTTGAATATTAAATTAAATTAAAAATAAAACTATTTTCTAAAAAACAATGCATGAATTAAGATGCATTAAAAGATAATTCAAAATTTAGATAAGAGATTTAACAACAAGTATATATATATATATATATATATATATATATATATATTAAAGTTCTCCCATAAAACTAGAAGACGTTTAATGAACCATTTTTCCAAGAAAAGTGGTCCATTAAATACACATGGATTAATAGAGAGAAAAAATGTCACAAAAAAATCAGTAAAATTCAAATAATGTACTTAGATACAAATAAGTATCCAAATTAAAGACTTAATTATCCAATATTTTTTTATATACTTTTTTACAATTAAGTCTAATTTGGTGTACCTCCTTCCAATTTTCTCTTCTATTTATTGTCTACTAAAAAGGCCCGAAGAATATTGGAGCCTGGTTTGTTTGTCTAGGCCCATGATATTAATAAACCCATTGGTATTATTCTAATTTTTAGTACAAATTATTCTCATTGACTTCTCTCAAGTTGTTCCAACTCATATGTTTTGATTATCTTTAGTACATTTTTTCTTCAATTCCTTTCTTGACACACCATTCACTATTAATGAGTTTCTTGACACACCATTCACTATTAATGAGTGAGGGACACATTGTAGAGAAAGATATTGAAAAAAAAGTGTACCGGAGAGAATCTCATTACTCAAAGAATTGAGTTTTTTGAAACTTTTTCGTTGGAGAGTTTTTTTGTATTTGAGATAAAACTTTATATTTTTTCCGTTATAATTGTATTAATTATCCCATAGAAAAAGTTAAATGCATTCATATAGTGGGATTAACTTGGAGCAGAAGAAGGAATTGATGGATAAGTTTTTTTTTATTGAATCAAAACCAATCTAATACAAACTCCTTCTATAGATGGTCATTGAACTTATCAAAATTTCAAAACTATAATGTAGCCAGTGATGTGCCTGCTGGTGAAAATGGGGTTAGGGATGACTGGCTGAAGTCCAGCCAACCATTTGTAGCATGGAAGCTTTAGATCAAATCTTTAATTCTTAATCTTAGCATCAGATTTTGGAGTTTATTTTTCCACTGGAAATATAATTGACATGTATAGAACAGTGAGCATTCTTGATGTAGTACGGATGACAAGAATTTTGGTAGTTTATTTGAACGTTGTTAATGTCGTTTATTAGAAAATTCTACAAGATTTTATTTTATTTCCTAATTTGATTAGGAAGTTACTTTATTTTATTTTGATTTAATTAGAATTTTATTTTATTTAGTTTTCTAATTATTTAGGATTCCAATTTCTTAGTTTATTTAGGGTTTCTGCCATTATATAAACTTATGCAAGTCTTAGGGATCAACAACTTTGGATTATTCAATAAAATTGAGAGAGTGTCTCTTTTATTCTCAATTCTTCTGGCATAGTTAGGAACCAACAGAGTTATTGAAGCCTTTAGGACTAATATTCTTGGTGAATCAACATGACTAGAGAATGAATCTAAACCAATATTTGTGTACAAATCAACAATTTTTTTCTTCCCAAAGCCACCAAGTGTGGGTGGGGTTTTGGCAGGACCCCTACCTATATATATAACTAAAAGGAAGAAAAGTATGACGAAGGAGGACACCAAACCTCTAGAACTACAAAGTGGGAGAAAGCAAAAGCAAGGTAGTACTCACCACCAAAAACATGAAAACAAAATGAAGACTCCCACAAAATTAACTGAAAACATAAAAAGGCTCCCTTCTCATTCATTATATCAATATTTTTACCCACTTTCCCCCATCAATTCTTATTGAAGGCTCCCTTTCTGTTCCAACTCTTCCTTTATGATTCTTTTGACTTTGTTTGATTTTTTGGGAGCATATAAAAAGTACCACAGAATCCATAAAGATATACAGTATTAGATAGACAACATACTTTCATTTTACACACAATGATCACGTACATTCATTTACTTCTCAAAGAACATATCCTCACAACAAGCTTAGTACAACATGAATTACCTCCACATGCTTCCAAATGGGAGGGATCTGTTGGTTATCCCATCCAATCCAAGTCGAAGGTATTAAAAGAATCTTATGATTACTTCAGATCATATTGTTTATAAAAAAATTTATTTGTTTTTTGACAATAAAATCACAATAAAAAAAAAAAAAAAACCCACAATGGAATTCGCCGTTGAGAAAAAATCCATTGACCAAACAACAATTAGTTCACCTTCCTGCAGTTCAACCGAATTTGGCCATTCTTTCCAGTTAATGGCTTTATATTACCCATTTTAATCATTGATTTGGCAAAATCTTGAGAGAAAGCACCAGCATTTGTGCTATAGCTCTTGACCAGCTTATCAGTTTGGCCACCATTAAATAGTGCCTGATCAGAGTGTAGAAGCCCCTTTTTCTTCACCAAGTTGGTGAAGTATTTTTTGTCGAAGAATGCAGGTGTTGGGTCTAGAGGGGCCAGGTTCGAGTCTCCTCCGCTGAGAGGACAAGTGGCTTGACGCTGGCGAGCAAAGGCGGGATTAATGGTAGTAGTCTCATTGTAAATGCGAGTTCTGAATATGCGACATTGTGCAATACCTATGGTGTGGCCACCTGAGAGCGCGACAAGGTCTTTAACATTCAGGCCATGCTTTTGGAATATGTTGATCAATGCAGGGAGGTCCATGAATGGTGATGGAATGTCAGTGTTGGCATCAGTCCTACTTGCAGTGGTCGAGTCTCTCCTCCCTAGTTGCACCTTCCATGTTGGTCCCCCTAGCTGTGCATGGAAAACCAAGTACACATGTTATTATTGCATTCAACATCATGTTGAAAATGGATGCCAATAGAAACCCATAAATTTGTCATTGATTTAATTAATTAAATATGAATTCCAGTATTTATTAGGATTTATTACCTATTCATCAACAGTAATTCATCAAATTAAGTTTTTAAGTCAATTTTTTTAAATTTATTTAACATTTTTCATATAAAAATACACACCGCAACCACAGAGTCACGAGCTGCAACAGCCAAAATGTCAGCACATGAAACCACTGGATATCCACAGGCTTTGTCCACCGCCAACTTGATCTTGTCAATGACATCAAATCCTCTTGCAGAATTCAAATTAGGAAGTGCATTCTTTTCACTGTCAATGGTGGGTGATGGGTCTAGCAGAATTGAACCATCACAGCCCTGCGTATAAATGACCAAGCAAGCTTATTAGAATGCCTAAACTACGAAAAAAATATGTGCACAATTTTACCATAGTCCATGAATTCATAAGATCATAAAACTAAATATTCAGCGAGTCGTACATTAACGAAACAATCGTGGAAGTGCAGACGTAGCAAAGAGGCGCCCATACGCCGCTCTTGTTGCACTGCTGCTTGAACAACACGTTTGATGGCTGGCAAAGCCTCGGGACATACTTTGTCGTAGTAATAAGGAGTGAGTGGTGAAGAAAAAGCTATGGTTGCAAGAGAGAACAGCAAAAAAGCATGAAGAAGGAAGAAGCTACATGAAGCCATGTCTTATGAATCTAGGACTTCTACGTATGGAGGTGATTATTATGGTTTGGCTTATGCTTTTCCTGCTCATTAGGCTTAGGTGGTTCCTGTATATATAAGTGATAGAAATGATGGACAAAGGAAACACGAGAACGTGTACAGAGATTGTAATTTGTAACTTATGGACTTAGTCAGCTGTGACTACTTCTACGAAGCTTACTTTCATCATCGCGTGGCCCAAGACAATTCATGTAAGAAAGGGGTTTCACAATTAATAATTTTTTTTTTCGTTTGAACTAGTCATTCGAGATGACAGACATTTTAAACTGTAATAGCACAATGACAGACACTATCACACCCTATTTCAACATGAGTTGGCTAGAAAATGTGGCCTAACAGTGATCCAACTTGATTATGTGATGCTGATTTGCTGAAAGATTAATACTAATTTTCCAAATCAACGATGAGACTGATGCCGGTCTACCATTACTCCAACAATAATAATGGGATTGATAAGCTAGTTTGGTCATTAAATATGATAAAAAGAAGTATTATTGTTAGCACAATTAGCAAAAAACCAAAGAGAAAACAATGCCCAGTTTAAAAAAAAAACAAAGGAGAAGAGAGCAAGGGCTCTCTAGTCTGAATACAAAGATCATGAAGCTAGATCATAACCAGAGACAATTCTGTGAAAAGAATTTTAACTTGCGCGTTATTGACAAAGATAAGGTCAATGGGATACTTGTGCAAGCAACAGTTTTGTGTGTAGATTTTGTGTTAGGTAACAACTAACCCTTATATTTCGATTTTTTATTTAGGAAAGATGGACATCCTTACAATGTATATATAAAGCATTGGTCGGAATCAATGTACACGATAATATTATACAGCTTAAAGTATCAGTATACAGTAATCAACTATTCAAACTATTGCCAAATGTCTTATAGTTTCTTAAAAAATAGAGTAGACTACTTGCCAATTGCTGTTTTTGTTTTTAGGCATGGGGATGTTAATCGAGGGCTTAGCTCGGATAACACTTAGATCGAGTTCGATTTGTGTTTTAAATGAGTTGAACTTAAACAATTTTTCAGGTTTGTTTCTGAACGAGTTAAAAATGCTTGACTCGAGCTCGCAAATCTCAGCTTTTTTATATGTAAAATAATCCAATTATTCGGGTTTGGCTCAACTAATTTTTTAAATAAATTGAGTTTGAACAATTTTTTAGGCTCGTTTAAAAAAATGAACTTAGATAAATTCGAATTTAATCTCACAAAACTATACTCGATTAACACCCCCTACCAAGACACCGATTGTTTTAGCTTTCCAGTCAATTCGAAAACATTTGTGCCTTTATCATGGAAGTTGCTGTATTAATCAAATAATTGTTGTTATCAGCAAAAGAAATCATGCATGGAGGACTGTTGGGGTGGCGACAAAGCCCTTAATTTAATGTTGAAGACTTAAGTAGAGATGGTAGTTGGTAGCCATTATAATTTTCTATACCACGCGCAAGAGTAGCAGGGCGGTTTAACAAAAAAATTTGAGTTTAAACTTTAAAGCCATATTTCTAAAGATCTTAAATTTTTAGATATAATAAGTAATTCATGCAAAAAAAATTAAATTCATAAATACTTTAATCCCTAGAAAAAGACCTTACAAAAACACAATCCCAATCAAAAATAATTTAACGCTTCACTTTATCTATTGGATAAGTGAGACTCATCAATTTTTTCAGTAGGATTAACTCATTCCACACGCATCCAAGAAATAATATACATTTTGATGAAACCTAGAATAATTTTCAAATATGAGCTCAGGCGCAGAGGTCAGACAAATAGGTCAGGCAAGACACACAGAACTAGAGCTCCCCCTAGACGAGATAGTAGCAGAAATGACAAAGGAACAACTAAGTGTTAACAGGAACCATACAGGTGACAAAAAGTCATATTCAAAGTACAAAATCCTCAACCAACCAAGATATTTTTCAAAAATCAAGGAGGAATCCACGGATGAAAGACTAAGATCTCAGCAGAGATTCCACAGAACAAGAAACAGCTCTGTAAATATTGTATAACGCCTCCAATAATGAGTAAGAAACCCTGGTTGCCTGGGAGACAGACTATAAATTCCATCCCCCATTATTGAAATAAAAGGAGCAATAATCTCTATTAAAGAGTAGATTAACGAGCTCTCGAGTTGGTGAATTACTGTATTTTCACTGTGTAATTCCCTCCAATCCCTGAAATTCTTTGTTACGATCCTCACGAGCCTAGGAGCTCAGACCCAAGTTGCCAAGCATAATTTCGACTTTTTATTCGTCCACGTTAATTACACCATCACATTTTAATTTTAATTTTTTGGTTTTATTTAAATTATATTGTATTTGCTCGTATAATTTTAAAGAAAGTCCTTGAGCTTCACTATGTGTTGCCCGTCAATAGTAAGCTTAGTTAATGCAGCTGTTGGAAAAGGACTAGCTTTCTTTATTGATAGCAACATTAGAAAACTGGACATAGGTGTCCATTCAATGACCAATTCCTCTTTAATTTTAATTAGAAAATGGCATGAGTTGAGGCAGTCTTTGTTTAGGCAAGGATGTAGAACTGGTTTGTGGCCGTAATCGCTGATCACCTTGAGAAATATCATAAGAAATTAGTTTATTCGGTACTTTTTTTTTCTCTTTTTTTTTTGGGAGGGGGGGGGGGGGGAGGGTAAAGGAGACTTAAATCATTTATTTCAAAAAGACAAAATATTTATAAGACAATGAGTACTATTAAACAAAAAGTTTGTTGGTTGTTTATTTAGTACTTGTGTACTTTCAAATATCAACTTTTTTTTTATCTTATTTGTTTTTAATTCTACTCTTCGGGGTGGCCTGGAATATTTTGGGGCCTAAAGCGGCAACGAAAAATGAGGCATTTTATTTTTAATATTAATAATAAATCTAAATTTTAATTTTTTAAATACAAAAAATATTAATTAATTTTTATATTCAAGGTTTTGCTATCATATTTGAACTTGATGATAAGAGAGAGAATAAATGATTGAAAAATTATGATGGTAAATTTAAATTTGACTTTTTTTGGGGGTTAAGACTAGATTGTTTAATAGCTTTAATTTTTTTCCCATTTTTTTTAAATAAATAAATTTTAACTTTTTGAGTTTTATTTGGATTTTATAGTATTGCTCTTAAAAATTAGATTTAAAAAGTAAGATTGATAATTACAACAATTGATTTCACTACGAGTCTCAAAATTTATTGAGACTTACTAACTATTTAATGATTGTGATTATCAAATTTAAGTTTTAACTTCATGTAGCATTACTCTTACTCAAATAATACTTGTTCCTGTTCAAACAGTTTGCGAAAGAGTTATCGACAAATCACCTATAGGTTAGAACAAAACCTTTAATACATTCAGCAGATAACAAAAAGAATTTCTTAGTCTCTCTCTTGAAATTGGTTAGAAAATAAAACAATAAATTGGAATCAATTTGTTGCATTGATAAAAAAAACAAATAAGATAAAAAAAAAGTTGATATTTGAAAGTAACACAAGTACTAAATAAACAACCAACATACTTTTTGTTTAATAGTACTCCTTGTTTTATAAATATTTTGTCTTTTTGAAATAAATGATTTAAGTCTCCTTTCCCCTCTCCCTCCCCCACCCCCTCCCAAAAAACAAAAAAAAAGAGAGAAAAAAAAAAGTATCGAATAAACAAATTTCTTATGATATTTCTCAAGGTGATCAGCGATTACGGCCACAAACCAGTTCTACATCCTTGCCTAAACAAAGACTGCCTCAACTCATGCCATTTTCTAATTAAAATTATAGAGGAATTGGTCATTGAATGGACACCTATGTCCAGTTTTCTAACGCTGCTATCAATAAAGAAAGCTAGTCCATTTCCAACAGTTGCATTAACTAAGCTTACTATTGACGGGCAACACCTTAGTGAAGCTCAAGGACGTTCTTTAAAATTATGCGAGCAAATACAATATAATCTAAATAAAACCTAAAAATTAAAATTTAAATGTGATGGTGTAATTAACGTGGACGAATAAAAGGCCGAAATTATGCTTGGCAACTTGGGTCTGAGCTCCTAGGTTCGTGAGGATCGTAACAAAGAATTTTAGGAATTGGAGGGAATTACACAGTGAAAATACAGTAATTCACCAACTTGAGAACACGTTAATCTACTATTTAATAGAGATTATTGCTCCTTTTATTTCAATAATGGGGGATGAAATTTATAGTCTGTCTCTCAGGCAACCAGGGTTTCTTATTCGTTATTGGAGGCGTTATACAATATTTACAGAGCTGTTTCTTGTTCTGTGGGATCTCTGCTGAGATCTTAGCTTTTCATCCGTGGACTCCTCCATGATTTTTGGAGAATATTTTGGTTGGTTGAGGATTTTGTACTTTGAATATGACTCTTTGTCACCTGTAGGGTTCCTGTTAACACCCAGCTGTTCCTTTGTCATTTCCGCTACAATATCTCGTCTAGGGGGAGGTCTAGCTCTGGTCCTCTGAGCTCTGTGTGTCTTGCCTGACCTATTTGTCTGTCCTCTGCGCCTGAGCTCATACTTGAAAATTATTCTAGGTTTCATCAAAATGTATATTATTTCTTGGATGCGTGTGGAATGAGTTAATCCTACTGAAAAAATTGATGAGTCCCACTTATCCAATAGATGATATTGATTTGTATTATAACTTTTTGAGTTTTATTTGGATTTTATAGTATTGCTCTTAAAAATTAGATTTGAAAAGTAAGCTTGATAATTACAACAATTGATTTCACTATGAATCTCAAAATTTATTGAGACTTACTAACTATTTAATGATTGTGATTATCAAATTTAAGTTTTAACTTCATGTAGCATTACTCTTACTCAAATAATACTTGTTCCTGTTCAAACAGTTTGCGAAAGAGTTATCGACAAATCACCTATAGGTTAGAACAAAACCTTTAATACATTCAGCAGATAACAAAAAAATTTCTTAGTCTCTCTCTTGAAATTGGTTAGAAAATAAAACAATAAATTGGAATCAA